AATCAGAATAAGGCTAGGAATGGGACTTTAGCAATAATACCCAAGGGGCGGGGCTTAAAGGAAAGGTTGATTATCAATAGATATCTAATATGCCAAATATTTGTTTTATCCTGTAACTTTTTTTTGTGTGGGGGGTGGGGAGGGGGTGGGATTAATGAGCTCTCTATCTGTATTTGTTCTTTGTTTTTCTGACTAAAGCAGATTTTACACTATCAAGTTTCATGTAATTTGCCCATATAATGGGTGTGTTATGACATCATCATTCATGCCCATATATGGGCAAATCAAACGATGTTTAGTCCTGATTGATGTAGTCTACCCATATCTTCTGTGTTCCGAGTCTACTGTTTCCAATGACAGTTCCCTTGTAGGATTGAATTGGTAATTCCAACACATGATCCAAAAGAATTGTAGGATGATTGCATGCTTCTACATAATTAAAATTGTGAGAGAATAGTGAGCATCACAAGTGGTACTATATAGCTATTTCGCCATATGTGGCAAAGGCAAACCAAACCAGTCACTTATCGCAAAAATGAATTTTTAGTTAATTATACAGGATTAAACAGTAAAATGAGAGCTATAAAATGGTAAAAGTTACAAGCGTTTAAACATACAACTGTTGAAAGAACAAATATTTAAGAAATCAGCCTTAAAAATTTAAGGCAGAAACCATCAATCGTTAAAAATTGTTGTTTTAACATTGAAAATGTGGAAAATGACAGCATAGCACGGTGTATAGATATATAAAGGTTAGTTTAGTCTAATAAAATAAATTTTAAAAATCGCGACATTCCAGCATGTTTTGGTCATTACCTCTGAAACATGGTTTGCGACGAGTGACTGGTTTAGCTCGTTATTAAGTTAATTTAAAGCAAAGTAGCAAGAGGAAACTTAGTAACAAACTTTGTCTAAAACATGACACCTGTAATAGTACCGTAATCAAAAATAGCATTAGTTGTCTGTAATAGTAATCAAAATAGAATTAATTGGTTGTGCTTAGCCTTAAGCATAGTAATTATGCTATAAATATCAGTGGCTTAAAGTTTAGTTGTAAATGATTTTTATTATTTACCTTATGAAATTGTTTAATGAAAAAAAATGTATTTATTTCTTTATAATTTTATGTGATATTTCTTCACAGCTGATAATACTAAATATATAATTGATGGAAAGACAATTACTATACCAGATGCTGATCCCAATGGATCCGGAGTTTTCCAGTGTTACATATCCAATGCTTATGGAATATACATAGACCAGGCTACCTACAAGGTTACTTGTAAGTACTATAAAACAATATTGTATCTGTGGGCGTATCTCTACTGAATATCGCGAAAGAAACGGTTCTCTTATTATTGGTTGGTAATCGGATTACCAAGGTTAGGATCGCGTTGCAACTGAATTTTCCCTCCACATAAAACCATTTCTGATACTCAACATGACGTCAATATTACCCAGAATGCGATCGAAATACCGGAAGTTCACATTGACCTGTTAAAAAAGCTGGTGTATTCCAACAAGATTTCGCATGCTTCACATCGATTGAAATAATGATTCCTCCAAGTTTGAGTGATTTTTTTTGCCTACTGTCAGCTATGTTAATTTTACTTAACCAGCGAGAAACCAGAATTCCATGCAGAATGAACTGGTTTGGCATCCGTTAAGAATACGGCGGACAACAAGGAGAAAAATGTTAGCAGTTGCATTCATTGTTGACGCAACAAAATGAAGACAGTGAGAAGTCCAGGGGAAGACCATGGAGGTCGAAGACACACCTACCACCAAAAGTTGAACTAGGTCAAATTGGGCATGCTATTCATGTTGCAGCTAAAAAGTACGTCACAAGAAATGGTTTCTTTTGTGCTGGGCATGGTATTGCTTCCGCGCACCCTAAAATGAAAGGTTACTTTTTATATGGGCCCCGTTTCTACTGCCACAAAAAACCATTCTTGAAAAGAACGGCTCTTAGAAACAGTTCTTTGTAGTCAGTAAAAACAGGCCCCAACTCCCAGGGTTGGGACACCTAGTCCAACTGTGGAAGACACCTGGCCCAGCCGGGAATCACGGTAAAGTCTTGTCAGGAAAAGTTGAATTATAATCATAGTCTTATCCGTGGACAGCTGACATAAGAATGCCATTTTCAGGCATAGAGGAAAAATAACCTCCTTGGGTTAAAGACCAAGGATGATGTGGCCCATCTGTTGGGGAATTATGACCACCAAATTGGTGAAATGGCGATGCTACCACTGATCTATCTACTCACATATATTTGTGTTACTTTAATTTACTGTTTAAGTAAGTTTTAAATTAGACAATTAGAAAAGTACCAATAGCAACTTATTTCTACTTGACTAATGTAAAACAAAATTACCAACTTTTCAATTTTTCTATTATGAATTGTTGTTTTAATAAAACTTATAAACAGATAAATTTTGAATGTTGGTTTAATTGTTGAATTCTGTCTTCCAGATGTTGTACCAGATGTGACAAAAGATCCAACTGATGTCCGTGTGGTAGAAGGAATGGATGCTAGCTTCATTTGCGAGTTCGTTGGTAAACCAAATCCAGCAGTCACGTGGAAATATAAAACAAACACGGTATGTGACTAAACAAATTTAATATAGGCTTATTATGTACACTGAATTAACTGCTCTAAATTAAAGACATACAATTATCTGATAAAAGATCAGCTGATATTTAGGAGCCCTCTTTAATAAATGATGCCTTTTATTAGACTAGGTCTCATGGAGTGAAAATATTTTTTAGTCATGAAGAAAAATCTTTTTGCCATGTGATTTGAACCCAGGAAATATTAATAATCCAGGAACATATGATAACCATATATTGAAATATGATATTGTTAGCTTAATTAGTAAAGTGCTCTGATTTCAGGGGGTTTCAATATTCAATTTAACAGCTGATCAGGTGAGTTTTTACCATGTGGTGCTACAATATTTGCTACATACGTGCTACAATTGCCTAAATTTTGCCACTCATATTTCATGCACGCAGACGCCGAACACCCCTTACATGTGCATGAACATTACCATGGATACATGCAGTCGCTAGATGGCTTCAGCAAATGGGTAGAAGACTGGCTTAAGTTTAAAATGATACTCTGCATGTCAAATATACAGATTATAAATAACTGAAACTAAAAGAAAAATATTGATGAAATAATAAGCAAGTGGGAGGAGTGGCTGCTTTTTGAGTAAAGAATATATAGTACCTCCAAGTCTTAAGAGCATGCTTACAGTCCCTTGTAAAGACACTTTTTTTTTTAGGAATTACTGAAAAATCATAACCATTCACAGAGTCCTACAGTGTATAATTGTATTGTAAGATTTACTTGTAGAACATCTGTGTACCTACAGTAGATAAGAATATGTGTGCACAGATCTTTTATTAAATAACCTGTCTACATTTATAGATGTACAGTAGATCAGTTTATTGTTGATTATTATTGATTTGAAGACACTTTTTTTTTGAGGAATTACTGAAAAATCATAACAATTCACAGAGCCCTACAGTGTATAATTGTAAGATTTACTTGTAGAACATCTGTGTACCTACAGTAGATAAGAATATGTGTGCACAGATCTTTTATTAAATAACCTGTCTACATTTATAGATGTAAAGTAGATCAGTTTATTGTTGATTATTATTGATTTGTTACAAGAAAGAGATTAGATTTTTTTTATTGATTATTATGTTAGAAATAATATTCAATTATTGTAGGTAGTAACTTTCACAATCAAAAGGAACTGTCAAGATGCTAAAAGTGTTTGCAAGTTTTGACCACTGTTAATGGAGTTAAATGGGGCATGTTGTGGCAAAATGGCTAAGTTGTAGCAAAAATTGAAATTCAAGTTATTAGTATTTTGAGATACCTGAGTATGTGATCTTTAATCTTTTGAAATTGGACATTTCAAATTGGACATTTCAAGCCTAAGTTACTGGAAAGTGAAAGTACAGCACTCTTAGAGTCAAGATAAACATGATTTTGAGTAATTGCCTTCAAAAGTTATTTGTGCATACATTGTTTAATAGAATTAATTAAATAACATTAAATAAACAATTTGTTGACCACTTCCAGAACTAATACTTTGGGACATGATTAAT